AATGATGATTTGGAGGATACAGGTTCAGTAGAGCTGAACAAGAACCGACGGCTCAGGTTTAGGATTCGATTGCCGTTCGGAGACGCAGGAGAGATATACGGTTGCCAGCTAGGTATACGAATACAGTCATTGCTTATGCACTTCCAGTGGAAAGTGTCAATGAGATGGTTCTTCAGAAGAACGATACATGGGAGCTTGTTGAGCTTCCAAAGGGGCGAAAGGCTATTAGTTGCAAATGAGTGTATATGAATAAGGAGGGCATTGAAGGCACTCTGGTAAGGTTCAAAGCTAGGTTGGTAGTAAAGTGCTATGCACAGGAAGAAGGCATTGACTACAATAAGGTCTTTTCTCCAATGGTGATGCACTCTTCGATTCGGATCTTACTAGCTTTGATGGTACAATATGGTTTGGAATTGGATCATTTGGATGTAAAAACGATATTTCTTCATGGTGATCTTGATGAGAAAATCTATATGACTCAGCTATTGGGGTTTCGAGCTGTATGGAAGGAGAAACTGGCTTGCAGATTGAAGAAATCGCTATACGGTTTGAAGCACTCTCTGCGATAGTCGTATAAGCGATTTGATGGGTTCATGATCGGCTATTCGTACATTCGGAGGCAGTTTGATTCTTGCGTGTACTATCGTAAGTTGCGAGGAGGTGTGTACATTTACTTATTGTTTTATGTTGATGACATGTTGGTCGCTTCTATTTCTAGATCCGCGATATGTGAGTTGAAGGTACAACTTTTGAAAGAGTTTGAGATGAAGGATTTGGTGAAGCGAAACGCATTTTAGGGATGGAGATCGACAGAGACAGAGATAGAGGCAGAATTTATTGACACAGGTGGCTTATTTGAAGAATGTCCTACAAGGATTTAATGTGAGCATTGAGACAATGTCGGTTAGTGTACCATTGTGAGCCCATTTGAAGCTTTCAGCTGACCTTTCACCAAAGATAGTTGAAGCTAGAGAGTTGATGTCGAAGACTCCATATGCGAGCGTAGTTGGGAGCTTGATGTACGCTATGGTTTGTACGATGCCGGATTTATCACAGGCAGTGAGCATGGTTTCGAGATTCATGTACTACCCGAGTCGGGGTTATTGGGATGCCGTGAGATGGATTTTGAGGTACATTCGAGGTACTCTCAAGGTTGGTTTGGTTTTTGAGCAGGACACTAGTGGCGGGCAGCTATGTATTGGATATGTAGTTCGGATTACGCCGGAGATTTGGATAAACGTCGGGTATGTGTTCACTTCGACGACGGAGGCAGAGTATATGTCGATTACGAAGGTTGTTAAAGAGGCGATTTGGCTTCGAGGACTTTTGGAGGATCTTGGTGTTTCGCAGCTATCCGTCATCACTTATTGTGATAGCATGAGTGCCATTTATTTGGCGAAGAATCAGGTCTTTCATACGAGGACGATGCATATCGACGTTCATTATCATTTAGTTTGAGATGTTCTTAAAGATAGGGATGTGGAGCTCGTGAAGGTTCACATAAAAGATCATCCGACGGATATGCTCACGAAGGTGGTCCCGAGCAACAAATTTGATCATTGTAGAAACTTGTTATAAATTGGTGATTGTTGAGGCCGTTTGCGGCCATTTGGATGAACTACGGGCGGCTTGATCCCTTGGGAGAGGGGGTACGTAGGCAACCTCATTGGTGCAGTCGGATTTGGTGAGACGACGTATTGTTGGTGTCGGCTTAATTTTGGGAACACTTCGGCTAGGTGGAGAACTGTAGAAAACGCGGCGAAAACATAAAATTTGAAGCCAGGAAGAGACTACAGATTTCTATCGGGTCGGTCGACCGACGGCATAGGCCCGGTGCACCGACAACTTGTTGGATTACAGGGTCTGAAACCCTGTCTTTGGTCGGTCGACAGAAGGAGTTCGACCGATGGACCGAAAATGTGTACATTACAGGAACTAGGAATCTGTCTCTTGCCGGTCGACCGGTGCAACCCCTGCGGTCGACCGAAAAGCGGATACATGCCGGATTTATTTCCTAGTCTGTATTGGATTGGGTTTTTTTATATAAATAGAAACACACGTTTCTAGGGTTTCTTAACCAGAGAATTAGCATTGTTTTGAACAGTTTTGTGAGGGAGATTATTGTAAGGGAGTGTGAGATCATTGGTTGGGTTATTTTGAGAGTCATTTGAGAGATTGTAACCCGTTGTTTCTCTTCCATATAGTGAAATCTCCCTATCCTCTCCCCGTGGATGTAGGCAATTTGTTGAACCATGTAAATCTCTGATTTTGTGTGATTTTGGCTGTTAATTTTGTGAATTGCACTCGTGTTTGGTTCTTCTCTCATCGCTCTCCGACTCGGTTGGTTTGCAATCACGCTTCCTTCCGCACGACGCGCAACAACCTGCAATAACAAAGCCATTTTTAACTTAACCACAACAAATTCTTTGCTCCCCTTACTCTTTGCTCTATACATATGAGCCACCGAATTTGTCCCCTCCCATCTCTCCACTATCATCACTATTGCCCTTTTCATGTGACATAAAATTTTACCGTACAAGTGCTGGTTTTGGTTGATCTATTGTTAATTAATATGTTAATGTGGGTTGACATGAGCTTGTCCCTTAATTTTTGATGGTTATTCTTCAGCTAATAGGGTAAGCATGATTAGATCTGATCTATTTGATTCAAATCTAGATCTACTTTATTTTTGATTGACAGTGCCAGGCTGATCTGAATCTGATATTTGATGATCAGATCTATTCATACTCAGTTGTCATTTTTGGTCTAGGACACAATTTGCACAAGAATAAATCCTGTGATAATTAGACTTCAATATTTCAAGCCTACAACTTTTGGCTTCACGTGCATGTATATATATATGATTTTGTTCTTCTAAAATTCACGGACGTATATGTAGGATTTTGTTCTTCTAACCTTCACGGATACATGGTCATAGGGTTATAATCCTGGTTCAAATATGCACGTATTACAGATCTATACGCCATTATTGGACACATTATGCATTTATAAATGGGTACATTAATTTCACAAGACCCCCAATAAGTTTGGCTCATTTTGAAATAATCCTAAAAAAAATCGGAAATGTCACTAAACGCCCGTTCAAATAACCTTAAAACGTTGAGGGATATCTGAAAATAGATTCATGAAAATGCAAATGTTTTGGGGGTCAAGTAGTGACTTTTCCAAACTTATTTCCGGAAGCAAATGTTTTGGCGGTTGGGAAAGGTATCCTTTATATTACATATTAAGTAAATTTAACGGATGATTATAATTGAATCATCCTCATCCATGTGACACAACCCCTCTACTGGTAATAATAATGGCCTAAGTTTGACATCATCCAAAAATGGCTCAAGAGACAGCATATATATAGTAGTTAGCAAATTTGCAATTTCAACTTGGAAGATAAACTATAGTAAAAAAACATTACCACCACCTTTATTTGTAAGAGAAGTCATGGATGTTGGTGGCATATTTTTCACTCCTTTTCATGCTCTTTTAAACATTTTTTTCTTCTTCCTATAATTTTATGGGTAAATAAATGTAGGTTAAACCCCACGGGGGGTCTACCTGCCTTCTTATGCTTAAAGCACAGCTAATGTAAGTTATAATTAACAATGGTGCTTGCACATGATTTTGACAAGGGCAAGAGATTAAAACCAATTAATTAAACTAATTAAGGGAAGCGCTAGCTAGCTCTCCATGTTATCCTTGTTTTCCCTTCCACTCAAAGCCATGTTCTTAGAGTTGCTCTTTTTTTCTTTCTTTCAGACAAAAATGTTTCAGAGCTCGTATTATTTTAGGATTAACGCTAAGCTTCCCATCTTTTTCTACCATGTGAGTACTGACAAGATTCCTCACTTGTTCCTCCCACTTAAGTCTCCTCTAGATTTAATTCAAAAGCCACCTTCATGTTAGTAGTAATAAATTCTTATATATATATTGTGCATCCTTTTGATAGCACGTAAGCTTTATATTTTTCCCTCCAAAAAAAAAAAAGAAAAGAAAAAGATATCTTTACATTTATGCACCCAAAATGATGCATGCTACTGATGGAGAAGGATATAAAACTGCAAATGCTCAGCTGCAACTTTGCAACACCACTATCTGAAAAATACTTTACGACTTATTTATTTATTTATTCAACTATTTTCCTATAGATGATGAATTGAATAAATTGAAACTTCGTTGATATATAGCTGAAATAAAAATTTGCTATTCTTGCTCATAGTCTTGTGATCACCGTCCCTATGTAAAATTACTACAATATTCCAAACAATTGGAAATTTAGTGGATATGCCAGGTTAGTTGGTTGATATGCTACCTACAAGAAGTTACAATTCTCAATGTGTAACTTATTTTGACAATTCTTCCATTTAGTGAATTATTTGTGTTTGTCTAATAATATATGAAACAGGAAATATTTGGACAATACGTGTGGTCGAATATAAGAAAAATACAGAACCGTTACTAATAATTCAGAGTTTCATACAAAAAAAACAACTAGGTCTGGACGCTTAACGAGTCACATCGAACTTTAAGGCTTTGTTCCTATCAAGCATAAATATGTGAACTAAAATGATCAGGGATGAATAAATCTCTCTCTTATCTGCATTCAAAATCCCCCATGCGCATGCTACTAAACAGTAATATATTAAACAAGAAACAAGGGGATCATATTTACTGGCATTCATTCATATATTCATCAATAAATGAAACAAAGTAATATATTAAACAATAAACTATCACTCTCCATCTTGATAATTTAAATTAAATATTTCCACCTCTACATCATAATGCCCCCAAGCAGCATACCATCCCATTAATATACAGCAAACTTCGAAAGTCTAGTTCCATAAACAAACACCCCGAATCAATCTGAATCCAACCTCAGAATCCTAATCCAAATACGTAAATATACAACAATACTTAAAAAAAAAAATATATATATATATATATATATATATACAACTCTTGCTTTGGATCCAGATCTCCGCCCTTTTTCTCTTATAAACAAAACATGGGGTTCCCCCCTCAACAATCCCAATACAAACTCTCATGCTCCTCTCTGCCCTCAACTCCTCTCACCTCCTCCAATGCCTCCATTCATTCTTCTGCTCACAATAATCTCTGTTCTCTTCTCCTCCTCATTCTCCATTGATGACCAAGGCCTCGCTCTGCTCTCATGGAAGAAAACTCTCAACGCCTCCTCAGTCTCCCTCGATTCATGGAGCCCTTCAGACCCAAATCCTTGCAGTTGGTTTGGAGTCTCATGCGACAAGGACTCCAAAGTTACCAGCCTCACATTGAAATCAACGGACCTGCAAGGCCCATTACCTTCAAATTTCCAATCCCTGTCCTCCTTGGACTCGCTAGTCATCTCTGCAGCCAATATCACTGGCTCAATACCGAAAGAATTTGGTGACTACCAGCAGTTAACGTTTCTTGATCTTAGCAAGAATCAGATATCTGGTGAGATTCCAATTGAATTGTGCAGGCTCACTAAACTTGAATCCTTGTCCCTCAACTCTAATTCTCTGCAAGGAGCTATTCCTTCCGATATCGGAAACCTGTCGAGTTTGACTTATCTAACCCTCTATGACAACTTTCTTAACGGAGAGGTTCCAGCAAGCATCGGAAAGTTGACAAAGCTTGAAGTGCTCAGAGCTGGTGGTAATCAAAATCTCAAGGGACCGTTGCCAGCAGAGATTGGTAACTGCACAAATTTAGTAATGCTGGGTCTTGCGGAGACCAGCATCTCCGGCAGTTTGCCTTCTACAATTGGCAATCTAAAGAAGATTCAGACCATTGCTATTTACACTGCTCTGCTCTCTGGTTCGATCCCGAAAGAGATTGGTAACTGCACTGAGCTTGCAAGCTTGTTTCTTTATCAGAATTCTATATCTGGGTCTATTCCAAATGAGCTTGGAAATCTTGTAAAGCTTCAAACTCTGCTTTTATGGCAGAACAGCTTGTCAAGAGCTGAATCTAATGGATTTATCTCTCAATCTTGTTTCCGGGTCTATACCGAAAACTATTGGTAAACTCTCAAATCTGCAGCAACTTCAGCTGAGTACTAATCAGCTCTCTGGCTCAATCCCCGCTGAGATCTCCAACTGCTTTGCGCTAACTGATTTCGAAGTCGACAACAACAACCTCTCGGGTGAGATTGATATAGATTTCAAGAAGCTGTCAGGCCTCACCTTGTTCTTTGCCTGGCAGAACAGATTAACTGGAAATATTCCTGGTAATCTTGCAGAGTGTCAGAATCTCCAATCTCTTGATCTCTCTTACAATAACCTGACAGGTCCAATACCAAAGCAACTATTTGGGCTACAAAATCTCACAAAGTTGTTGCTTCTATCCAATGAGCTCTCTGGATTGATTCCTCCAGATATTGGTAACTGTACCAATCTTTTCAGGGTTAGGCTGAATGAGAACAGTCTAACTGGATCATTACCTGCAGAGATTGGAATGTTGAAGAACCTCAATTTTCTCGATATTAGCGGCAATCGACTCATTGGTCAAATCCCTCCAGCATTATCAGGCTGCGAAAGTCTCGAGTTTCTTGATCTTCATTCTAATGCACTTGGTGGATCTCTGCCAGATTCGCTTCCAAAGAATCTACAATTCGTTGACATTTCAGATAACATGCTCAGTGGTCCATTAGGACCCGCTATCCGATCCTTAACGCAGCTAACAAAGTTTGTTGCAGGTAAGAATCGGTTCTCTGGCATGATTCCTTCAGAGCTCAAGTTGTGTACTAAGCTTCAACTGTTAGATCTTGGTGCCAATGTGTTATCTGGTGCGATACCAGCAGAGATCGGTGAATTGCCAGCACTTGAAATCTCTCTCAATCTCAGCTATAACCGTCTTTTTGGCACAATTCCATCTCAGTTCTCAGGCCTTAGCAAACTCGCAATCCTTGACGTTTCTCACAACAATCTCACAGGAGATCTCAATCATCTTGTCGATCTCCAAAATCTTGTTGCCTTGAACATCTCATTCAATAGCTTCTCGGGCTCATTGCCGAATTCCCCTTTCTTCCGGAAGCTTCCCCTGTCAGACCTCACTGGAAACCAGGGACTGTTCATCTCATCTGGGTCAGCCAGCACAGGCACGACGGCAGCTTCCATGTCAGCACTAAAACTAGCCGTGTCAATCCTAGTCAGCGTTGGTGTGCTGCTACTATTAATAGCAGCCTACGTGGCTGTTCGTGCCCGTGCTGCTCCCAGTAGAGATGAAACGGACACATGGGAAGTCACATTGTACCAAAAGCTGGACTTCTCTGTTGATGACATAGTCCGAAGGCTGACATCAGCGAACGTCATCGGAACAGGGAGTTCTGGTGTAGTTTACAAGGTTGGTTTACCGACAGGTGACACTTTTGCGGTAAAGAAAATGTGGTCATCGAACGAGAATGGTGCATTTCAGAATGAGATATCAACACTAGGTACAATTCGTCATCGGAATATAGTGAGATTATTGGGCTGGGGAGCCAACGGGAGTACCAAATTGCTGTTCTACAATTACTTGGTGAATGGGAGTTTGAGCGGGTTCCTTCACCGGGGAGTGAAGGGATCGGGGGATTGGGAGATGAGATACAATATCGTTGTAGGAGTTGCGCATGCTATCTCATATTTGCATCACGATTGTGTGCCCGCAATCTTGCATGGAGATGTTAAGAGCATGAATGTGTTGTTAGGTGAGAGATATGAAGCATATTTGGCTGATTTCGGGTTGGCCAAGGTTTTAACTGGAGGTTGTAGCAGAGTTGGGAAGCTGGAGATTAAGCCTTCACCAAAGATTGCGGGCTCTTATGGTTACATTGGTCCAGGTATGAAGTTTAACTTTTTCTTATTGTGAACTTTCCATGAGTGAATTATTTCTTATTTGAATTGTCCTAAGTTTAATCTGGCATGCTGCAATTTGTGAGATTGGTTTCAATGTCATATGACTACCAATTATTGAGAAAGGATTTAGCTACCTAGAGAATATAGATTTACCTTTTGAAAGTGGTTTTTCCTGATTTTTAGGTCAAACCCCCCAAAACACACACACACACACAAAAGAAACAAAAATAGCTTCTTTAGGAACCTGACATTGACAAGCGTAGGATACTACGGATAAGAACCTAGACTGTGTTTGGCAACCATTCAAAACTGTGTGTCAGGAATGATCCTGGCCCTTTGTGGAAAAAAATAGTAAATGGGAAACTTTGTGCCAATGTTCATTCAGTTTTTCTTAGGGCCAAAAAAATGGCCATTAAACTAGTCTTTTGATGGAACACCCACTTGATTCAATCCTAGACTGGTTCGGATAAAACTGGGTCAAGATTGATCCTTGCCCAATTTTTGAGTGGGTTGCCAAACACCGCCTTAGATAAGCATTTAAGACCTGAGTTGTCTGTTGGTTTGGTTCAGATGCGAATAATTGGATCAGATAAGAATCTTCATGTGAAATCTTCACTTTTTGGACCCTAACCAACCTGTTCAGATAACTGAAAACCCAATTGCTGGAAGAATGAAATCATTCAGCCCCATGAATACTAAGCTCAGAACGGATTATTAGCGTCTCCTTTATATCATTATGTGACATTAGCTAATTGACAATACTGTTTTTTATCAGAACATGCTTCAATGCAGCGAATCACCGAAAAGAGCGATGTCTACAGCTATGGTGTAGTCCTACTCGAGGTTCTAACAGGAAGACATCCGTTAGACCCATCACTCCCTGGAGGTGCACATTTAGTTCAATGGGTCCGTGATCATTTGGCAAACAAGCGCGATCCAATTGAACTCCTTGACTCAAGACTCCGAGGTCTTCCAGAGTCTCAGACTCAAGAAATGGTTCAAGCTTTGGCTATCTCAGTATTGTGTGTTAGTCCCCGGCCTGACGATAGACCAACAATGAAGGATGTTGTTGCATTGCTTAAAGAGATAAGGCAATCTGTTGCTGATGATCAAAAGACATCTTCAGTGAGTAATATTGGTGCTTCTCCTGTTAGGGATTTGGATTTGAAAGGCTCTTCGACTTGTTCATTCGCTATGTCAGACTGTTCAAGCTGATAATAGGAAGGAATTAGATTTTTTATTATTTTTATTTTTATTTTTTGATGGCAAAAGTTTTGTTGATGATGATTAGTATCCTGTTTGCCCTTGTAAATCTCAATAACTGTTAGATAGTATGATGAATATATTTGTTTAAAAGCTTGCACTTGTTCATGTACATACTAAAGTAACTTCCATATTATCATATTTTGCCATCAAAAAAGCAAAAGGAAAATACAGAACTAATAAGAGGCCTAATTGCGGGTAGACCCCCGCTATCTCCCAATTTTGGACTTAACCCGTTGCAGATAAGACCCCCTGACTGATTTTTCCTTTGTTTGACGTATAGACTCTCTGAGCTAAAAGAGTCAAAAAATTTCACTCGGGGGATCTATCTACTACAATAGAACTACAAGGTTGTTATCTGCAATAGTTGATACTACGAGGGGTCTATCCGCATTAACTTTAAAAAGAAGGCTTGATGCCTTTCCAGCAAGACACTCACATGGCCTCGTGCTGCCACAATGCCCTCACATGACAGAGAAAAAGACTTCTTAGCTAAGATGCTAGTGAGAATCTTGTTGTGCGCGGCGGAAGCTTTCTAGGGCAACACGAACAATAACTAGAACTAAACCACAAACAATATGCAAACCACAATCACAGCAAGAACACACAATTTACGTGGTTCGGCAAGTTGCCTACGTCCACGGGGCAAGGAGGGGGGAGATTTTACTACTAGAAATCAAGGGAATACAAATAGGGTTACAAATCTCTCAGACCAAACCCTAAAACAAAGCTCTAGATCTCTCAAAGCTCTCTCACAATTGGATGCAATGATTCTCTCTCTTTGGCTGCTCAAATTCGTCCAACCTCTACCCTAAACAAACAGGTTTAGGTATATATAGAACTTACAAAACGAATCGGGTCGAAAACCTGAAAGCCCAGCCCAAAACAGCGTCGGTCGACCGGACCGGTCGACCGCGATCAATTCCGGTCGACCGGCCCGGTCGACCGATCACCATCCAGTCCTTCAATTCTCCACCTCGGCGAATGTTTCCACCAAAACTGAGCCGACACCAAATCATCCAATAGTTCATCAACAAGTCCAGAAAAACCAATACTCGAGCTGGAACGCGATCTCCCCCTATCTGGATCAATTGATCAAACCGGCTGCATCTAAAGACTGCCTACGTATCCTCTTGCCCAAGGAATCAAGCCGAACGTAGTTCACCCAAATGGCCGCCAACGGCCTCAGCACTGAAGGATGTTCAACAACTTCAAACAATGACCAAATTTCACTCCTGAAACAACTTTGGTCAACATATCTGCAGGGTTGTCATTTGTGTGGACCTTCTCCAATATGACATCTCCATCATCCAAGACGTCCCGTACAAAGTGGAATCTGACGTCGATGTGCTTCGTGCGCGCATGATAAACCTGGTTCTTCGCCAAATAGATAGCCGACATACTATCACAATATATCCGAATAGTCTCCTGTGCAATCCCCAAGTCCTCCAATAATCCACGCAACCATAAAGCCTCCTTAATAGCTTCAGTAACTGCCATATACTCTGCCTCTGTAGTAGAGAGAGCCACTATGGACTGAAGCGTACAACGCCAACATACAGGTGTACCTGCCAATGTAAAAGCATAACCTGACGTAGACCGGTGTTTGTCAAGATCTCCAGCATAATCTGAATCCACATAACCAATACAAGCCTGCCCGTCCTTCTCATCCTTCTGAAACACTAAACCAACATCCACGGTGCCTCGAACATACCGTAGAATCCACTTCACGGCCTCCCAGTGACCCTTCCCGGGGTCATGCATGTATCTCGATACCATGCTCACGGCCTGTGACAAATCTGGCCTCGTACACACCATCGCATACATCAAGCTACCTACTGCACTAGCATATGGGACCTTCGACATATAATCTCTGTCCTCAACTGAAACAGGTGACATCAACGCTGAAAGCTTGAAGTGGGGAGCCAATGGTGTGCTAACTGCTTTTGCATTGCCATCAAAGCTGAATTTCTTCAACATCTTCTGCAAGTAGCTCTTCTGTGTAAGCTTCAATTTCCCCTTCACCCTGTCTCGCTCGATCTCCATACCCAATATCTTCTTTGCCTCTCCAAGATCCTTCATCTCAAACTCGGATGATAACTCCTCTTTCAGCTTTCGAATAGCTGAAGAATTCCTGGAAGCAATAAGCATATCATCAACATATAAAAGCAAATATATGAGCTCACCATCCTGTAGCTTGTGCATATAAACACATGGGTCATATGGGCTCCTTGTGTACCCTCGGCCAATCATAAAACCGTCGAATCTCTTATACCACTGTCTTGGTGACTGCTTCAAACCATAAAGAGACTTCTTCAGCTTACAAACCAAATTTTCCTTTCCTGCAGCTTTGAAACCGTGTGGTTGTGTCATGTAGATCTCCTTATCTAAATCACTGTGTAGAAAGGCTGTCTTCACATCCATCTGGACCAAATCCAAATCCAACTGTGCCACCAACGCCAATAAAATCCGAATCGACGAATGCTTCACAACGGGTGAAAATACCTCGTTGTAATCAATGCCCTCAAGCTGTGCATATCCCTTGGCAACTAATCTGGCTTTGAACCGAATGTCCCCAATAGAAGATCCCTCCTTCTTCGCATATACCCACTTGCAACCAATAGCTTTCTTACCCTTAGGTAGATGTGCAAGTGTCCAAGTGTCGTTCTTCTGAAGAGACCGCATCTCCTCCTCCATAGCTTCCCTCCACCTGATCGAATCGGGGCTAGACTCTGCCTCCCTGAATGTGGCTGGAACCATATCATCAACGACCTCCACTGATAATGCATATGCGACCATGACATCATTATACCTAGCTGGCCGACGAATCTCTCTCCTCGGTCTATCTGTTGCAATGGTCCTCTGAACATGACCCTGTTCCTGAGTCCCATGATCTACTGTATCCTGTATCTGCCCATCTGTCATCTCATCTCCTCCCAGTGTCACCTCTGTAGGAGCCTCAATGGATACAGTGTTCTCTGGAGTGGGTGGAGTCACATCATCCTCCACCTGCTGCGATATCTCTCCTGTCTGGTCTCCCTCCACCTGCTGAGGGGCTCGAGGCCTCATCATGTACGCCTCGTCAAATGTGACATCTCTGCTAATAACTATCTTCTTGTCCTGTGGATCCCATAACTTGAAGCCTTTGACTCCATCCCTAAATCCCACAAAGACTGCTTTCCTCGCTCTCGGATTTAATTTGCCATCACTGACATGATAATAAGCTGGACACCCGAATATCCGAAGCGACTCATAGTCACTAGCCACCGAACCAAACCAACGCTCCAAAGGAGTCTTCCCGTCTATCGCAGTGCACGGCAACCTGTTCACAAGATGGCTCGCATAAACCAACGCCTCGGCCCAAAAAGATCTAGGCAATCCACTCTGCGTCATCATACACCGCACCTTCTCCAGCAAGGTACGGTTCAATCTCTCAGCCACCCCGTTCTGTTGCGGTGTCTCTCGAACTGTGAAGTGTCTTCTAATGCCGTGATCCCGGCAAAACTGCAGAAACGGATCACTCTTGTACTCTCCACCGTTATCTGAACGTAGAGTCTTCACCTTTCTACCTGTCTGCAGCTCCACTTTCTTTTTCCACTCCACAAAAATATCCAGGACCTGATGTTTATGCTTCATCGGGTATACCCAATTCCTCCTGGAATAATCATCAATGAAAGTGACAAAATAGTTGGCCCCACCAAGAGATGTGTTCTTGGAAGGACTCCAAACATCCGTGTGAATATAATCCAATGTACCTTGGGTGTTATGAACAGCGGTGCCGAACTTCACTCTAGTCTTCTTCCCAAGTACACAATGCTCACACAATTCCATCTTGCAGGTCTTAGCACCTTTCAATAGCCCCTGTTTAGCCAATGACTGTAGGGACTTATCTCCTGTGTGTCCAAGTCTCATGTGCCATAAGGTGGTAGTGTCCTCCTCTGTAGTGATAGAAGCTGCCAGACCCCCTGTAACTGTCTTGCCCTTCAAGTAGTATAGGTAGTTTTCCCTGACACCTCGCATCACCACCATAGAACCCTTCGTGACCTTCACTGTAGCATCCTCTAAGATCACTCTATATCCTGCTGCCTCCAAAGTCCCAAGAGAAATGATGTTCTTCGTCAACTGCGGCACGAACCTCACTTCCTTCAATTCCCTCACTACACCGTCATACATCCTAATCCGAACTGAACCAATACCACCAATAGGACATACGTGGTCATTACCCATAAGCATGACATCCCCTCTTTCCAGCTCCTCAAAGCTGGAGAACCACTCCCTCTTAGGGCAGATATGATATGTAGCTCCCGAATCCATCATCCACTCCGTGGAATCCGCATAGCAAACCGACGGTAAAGCAGGGCATGAATAGCCTGAAGAATCTGAATCTGAATGCTCATCAATAGCTTTTGCAACATTCACTTCTGAAGCTTGTGCAGCTTTCCCCTTATTCTTCCCGGCTTTTTCTTTCCACTTTGGGCAGTCAATCTTCCAATGTCCTTCTTCTTTACAATACCGACATTGATTTCTACCAACACTCTTATAGGCACTCCTATTCTTTGACTTTGAGCGGTTGAACTGACGACGGTTTGGATCTCGGCCTCGAACTGCTAACGCATCTCCCGATGCCTTCTCGGAGGGTTCACCATCACTCTTCCTCAACTCATAGTTCACCAAAGCTGAGGTCACCTCCTTGTAGCTAACTGTAGTTCTTCCATTGATCATAGTGAGAACGAACGTACCATAATCATCTTCGGGCAACGAACACAGAAGTAGCATCGCCTTGTCTTCATCCTCAACTATAATATCAACATTGGCCATATCTGAAAGTAGCTTAGTGAAATTGTTGACATGCTCCCTGATGGAAACCCCTCTCTTCATCTTGAACTGGTAAAATCTCTTCTTCAAGTGAAGCCGATTCTCAATGCTCTTCGTAAGATATTTCTCATTGAGTGTTTCCCACATCTTCTTCGCCGACGTCTCGTTCATAACATCATAAATAAGATCCGGCGTCAAGCATGACCTAATAACACCACAAGCTCTACTGTTCATCTTTCTCCAAACCTTATCCTCCAACTCAGCGGGTTTCTCTTTTA